CGAGTCGGCACGGAGCCAGCAGCGCGAACGACGGCAGCACTCACGGCGACAGTGATGGTACTACTATCAACAGCAACGGTAATGCTAACGGAGGGTTCGTGATCGGGCTGAGTCCGCTGAGCCAAACGCTGTGGAGGGACAGGAGCCGCGACGTGGAGCGCGGTGGTGGCGACGTGTTGGCTCGGCTCGCGTGGCAGGATCTGACCGTGACGGTGACGCATGGGAACGGGGAGGCCCAGAATGTGCTCGACGGGCTCACGGGGTACGCCGAGCCGGGGACGCTCACGGCGCTCATGGGGCCTTCTGGCTCCGGCAAGTCCACGCTCCTCGATGCCCTTGCAGGCCGGCTCGCCGCCAATGCCTTCCACTCCGGCACCGTCTTGCTCAACGGCCGCAAGGCCAAGCTCTCTTTTGGAAGTGCCGTGAGTAATCTTGTTACTCTCATTGTTTTTTTGCCCCTCTCTAATTGCCATGATTCTATGAAAATCAAAAACAACGGTTAAGAAATTATAATAAGATCAACAAGATGATGGATTTTTCGAACGTGCAGGTCAGTTATCTCCATTTTTATGTGGAACTTGGCTGTCTGAGGCTATGTAAGCCCAAAATAGTATTTGATGAGACAGGGTCAATTAAATGATCATCGTCCTTAAAGTACTAAAGTGTGGTCAGAACAAGTAAATGTTGGTACGAGGGTCAGGTCTTAAGTCAGGCACAATAAAACGAAGTTGGAATGTATTCGTCCGATTTGGACGTGACGTTTTAGGTGTCCGGTTCATTTGGTGGAATAAATGGGGAGTGAGATGGTACCCCTTCGTTGGGAAGTTATACTGCACAATTGATTATTATGGAGGGCCTTCTGTACAATTTCTTCTTTGTGTATGTACTGTTCTTCATAGTTATTGAGTCTCCAATGAGTGTACGATCCACATTTCTGTATACGAGGAGAGTGGGAGTATACGCTGAACGTACCTAACGACCTGTCATTTCATATGAGCACATTGCTCCGTACCTTGAGGGCACAACAGAAATTCATTTCTTGAAGCGTTCACATTAAATACTTTAGAAGGGAGATAATGAATTTCAATCATAACTTAATCGCGTTGCTTTAGGTTTTGATTCTGTATGCGAGAGTATGATTTTTTTGAATTTTGCTTGATGTAGGCGTACGTGACGCAAGATGACACGCTGATCGGGACGCTGACAGTGAGGGAGACGATAATGTACTCGGCGAGGCTGCGGCTGCCGGACAAGATGCTGTGGGAGGAGAAGCAGGCGCTGGTCGAGGGCACCATCATTGAGATGGGCCTCCAGGAGTGCGGTGACACGGTGATCGGGAACTGGCACCTGCGTGGGATCAGCGGCGGCGAGAAGCGGCGCGTCAGCATCGCCCTCGAGATCCTCATGCGCCCCCGGCTGCTCTTCCTTGATGAGCCCACTAGCGGCCTCGACAGGTGCTGATTTAATCATAATTATAGGCAAACTCAACTGTAATGTGGTAAACATGAAAAATCAGCGTGAGAGTATAGTAGATTGAACTTGAACTTACTCCTAGCAATTCAATTTTGTGGCAGTGCTTCAGCTTTCTTCGTGACCCAGACGCTGCGCAGCCTATCAAGGGACGGCAGGACTGTGATTGCATCCGTACACCAGCCGAGCAGTGAAGTCTTCGAGCTGTTCGATAGGCTGTGCCTGCTTTCCGGCGGCAAGAACGTTTATTTCGGTCCTGCTTCAGAGGCGTACGAGGTGATCGATTCTGGTTCTCAAGACGCAAAATTGTTCTGATGTTTTGAAACTGCTCTCGAGCCAAACGTGAAGCTTGGTAATGTTGCAGTTCTTTGCTCAAGCTGGATTCCCATGCCCTGCTCTGAGGAATCCATCTGATCATTTCCTCAGATGCATCAACTCTGACTTTGATAAAGTCAAAGCCACTCTCAAGGGGTCTATGAAACATAAGGTACATAACTTTCTTTTCTTCAATTCTCTGAGTTACATGTATGCATTGTATGCACATCATAGCATCTCAGAATTTAGTATTGCATTCAAATCTAAACTGGGATGAGGTAACTTCGATGACTTATGCAGAATTTGGAAAGTGATGATCCTTTGGATAGGACTACTACAGCTGAAGCTACCCGAGCTCTCATTGATTTTTATCGGTCTTCCCACTACTACTATTCGACTAGGCAAAGGGTCGAGGACATGTCCAGAGTTGTAAGTCAGCTTGCGTTTCTTGTATATGCTATTCGACTTCTTTCACGTCGTGACCGTTCCTTGTGGAGTCCTTCTGGTTTAAGATATCCTCCATACCATGTTGTTGCAGAAAGGAACGGTTCTCGATTCAGGAGGGAGTCAAGCTAGTTTCTTCATGCAAGCTTTCTCCTTGACCAAGCGTTCCTTCACTAACATGTCGAGGGACTTTGGGTATTACTGGCTGAGGCTCGTGATCTATGTTGTGGTCACAATCTGCATTGGAACGATCTATATGAATGTAGGGACCGGCTATAGTTCAATCTTGGTATGTTAAAATTCACGTTCTAAGCTACGTTTACATTTCATGACCGGTGGACAATTAATCAAGTTTTTCCCCGTTTCACCTTATCAAAGGAAGCATCGCCTATGGCTAGTGCCTTTTGATCTCTCAAATTTGTTCGTTATACAGGCAAGAGGTGCCTGTGCATCTTTCGTCTTCGGCTTTGTCACGTTCATGTCAATTGGGGGATTTCCATCTTTTGTGGAAGATATGAAGGTGATGTTCACTAGTTTACGCCTCACAAACCATCAATGGCTATGAGACTGAACTGTATACGATGGTCCGAACATTTTCAGGTTTTCCAAAGGGAGAGAATGAACGGTCACTACGGAGTCGCCGCATTCGTCGTCAGCAACACATTCTCTGCAATGCCATTCCTCATATTGATCACGTTCCTCTCGGGGACCATTTGTTACTCCATGGTTCACCTCCACCCTGGATTCGTACACTACCTGTTCTTCGTACTTACCCTTTACGCGAGCGTCACTGTTGTCGAGAGCCTGATGATGGCAATTGCCAGCGTGGTTCCCAACTTCCTCATGGGCATTGTCATAGGGGCTGGAATACAGGTTTACTATTCACTGCTGTTGATTTTATTTTTGACACAAATGAATGAATCTGACCAAGTGCAATACATTGCATATAAGTTTTGTATCATTATTCAGTAATTTGACTTAGAAAAAACTAGCCCTTCCTTTCAGAAACCTACAGTAGTCTTTAAAGTCTGTTGTTCCGGTAGTCTTGAGTTAAATTTGCTGAAGCTGGCAGAAAATGCAGCCAAGTGATTTGAGCTGAACTCCTTCACTAACCAATCATGTATCTTTTTTCAATTTCAGTCCACCTAATACTTGCTTATATTACATCCTTATCCCAGGGCATATTCATGCTAGTTTCCGGCTACTTCAGGCTCCCGAAGGACATCCCGAAGCCCGTGTGGCGGTATCCGATGTCCTATATCAGTTTCCACTTCTGGGCTCTTCAGGTAAAGAACAATTTCATCAATCTCATTGCTCGAAATAATAAGATTCTTAAGATACTAAAAATCGGTCTGACAATTATTCCAGGGCCAATACCAGAATGACCTGAAGGGCTTGCTGTTCGACAACCAGTCGCCGGACCTCCCCAAGATCCCGGGAGAGTATATTCTGGTGAACGAGTTTCAGATCGACGCGAGCCGATCGAAATGGGTAGACCTCACGGTGCTCTTCAGCATGATCGTGATATACCGCGTCATCTTCTTCATCATGATCAAGATCAATGAGGATGTGACTCCTTGGGTCAGGGGTTACATAGCCAGGAGGAGGATGCAGCTGAAGAACGGGACTCAGAACACCACAGTCACTCCTGATGTCCTGAGCCAGTCGCCTTCTTTAAGGGCCTATGTGAGTAACCATGGAAACAGGACTGGTAGAAATTAGCTATTGAATCGGTAATATTGTAATGATAAGCAGACCCTTAAAAGAAAGTTTGAAGGTGGAGTGTAGGAAGATTGTTGTTAGATAGGATTTGGTGTGGTCTTGTTATCAATTTTTAGCTTAACTCGTGGTATAATTCGTATCTATGACTTAATCGCACTTGATTATGATCAGGGAACTTCTATAACTGAAAACATGAATTTAGGTTCTTTTTCTTCACTTGGGCCTAAGTAGATGGATGGTAATTCAATGCTCATAACATGCAAAACGTTTGCTTCCTCTATTTCTGCAATTTCTCTATTCTGGAAAGGGATATCTGTTTATGCATCTACTCTCGCAGCGAGTGATCGGTAGCCATGCCATCAAACAAGAAAATCTCCCGCTTTGATCGCAAATTTTTTAAGTTTTTACGTGTTACGGCACTTTGTACAAGAATTATTATAAAATGTACGTGGTTACAACGGCTTATGACCAAGTAATTGATCCCCCCGTGGATCTAGAGAAGTCCCCATTTCTGGAGAACAACCTTCACTTCGCCCAGCCCGTCTGAAATTGGCTTTTCCGACATCAGTAGGCTCTTTGAGCACCATTATTGCACAGGATTGCCTCTTTGATGAACACTCATTTTCTTTGATGAAACATTCAATAAATGGAACATCATCATTGAAATCTTAAATTTCACAATCACGAATCATTCGCCGCATATTCATCTACTATTCTACTCTCTTCTATGGTCACAACGGCATGATCAGATATGGCCGGGAACTTTTCTAAAAAAGTCGAGGCATACCAACTGTACAGAATCAGATCTCTGACATTTTGACACATACTTGGTTGAATTTAACTGCCATAACATGTTTTGAAGGAAGTAACATCTAGCAGCAACAATGATAGTTCAGGAGACTGGTTAAAATTTAGGGATGACATGCCTCAAATTCTATTCCTGGGATATGATGATTGGAGTCGCAAAAAGAGATGATCCAGTTAACCAATCTTAGCAAGGACATGACATTTCATGCCTGTGCACGAAAGTTTGCAGGAGCCAAAACAAATCAATGAAATAATTCTATAACATTAATAAATTCTAGACAAAGGAAAATTTTGTCCTTAAATTTAAAAAGAAACACTTTAGCAAGAAAATAAGCTAAATGACAACCTCAAATGTATGACAGCCAGAGCAGACTATATACAGAGCTGTGAGATCAATAATTGTCTCAACACTAAAGTTGGGTTTTAATCTGCAACCTCGATCAAGATGTTCCGAGTGAGCTTCTGCAAGCCGAAACCTCAACAAGTCCAAGTTAACCTGAAATACAATGATTTCGCTGTGTCATCAACTATTGAAGCATATTTAGTGATGTTAATCAATTGGTAGTAGATGGTCACTTTTGAGGTATTAAGAGTGATCGTCTCTCCATGCTCTGCAGTAGAGCTCCTAAGTAATTGTGAATTGAGTAAACTGAGTAAAAATATTAGCAACCACCCTATCACTTGACACATTATGCAATTGTATACTCGACATAAACAGACATATAAATGATCTTTCATTGTGATTGAAGCAGCAAGTTTAAACATAACATTCAGATATTTGTCCATGATTATCCACTAATCATACCTCATTCAGCTAGTATATTTTAACACCATCAGCCATTAGAGATTGATACGAGCTACTTGCATTTTACATATTCAGATAACAAGATCAAGGGAGGAGACCAGGACCTCACTGCCTTTGTTGAGCTTCAGATTGCAGAGGGTGCAATAAATCAGACTATGGTTCTCTTGCAACTCTCCTTGCTTGCAGATTGGGCACCAAATCCTCTTGCTTACCTAGTATCAGCGATTTTTATGTAGGATTAGGAACATGTATCTCCAAATTAAGGCCAAAAAACATAACAAAGAAGGGTTTCGAACAGTTCTCTTAAAGATGAAAAAGAGAGCTCAATCCCAAGATTAAAAATAAGAATGAACTTCACAATAATGATGCCATTTGATCCAATAGCCTTCCGTTAGATAGGAACAGATTTGATAGATACTGATGACACTCGGATGGAGTATTAGAACGGAAAAAACCATTAGATAATGAACTATTGGTTCTAAGCCATCTCTGGCAATGAATCAACAATTTGAACTGCTTTTCATTTCACACAAACACATAATTGTATCTGCATTTAGTTTGCATAAAATTGATAACTTAACCAACTCAGGAATATATGACAGACTTTCAACAAGAAGCTTCTTTCCCCTTTCCGTGTAGGATATATTTTGATAGATTAGTTAAATCAATCTCATCACGACCATTGAGCACACTAATTATACCTCATTCTCATTCAACTGCATGTGTTCAAAAACTGCACAAGCCAAAAGCTCATCTTCTTCATCTTCCCAATTGTCAACACAGCTTTCTTTCTCTGCACAGTGAACGGAATACTTTAGTTCAGCAGTCAAGTTGTATAGTCAAGCACCCATATATTGGGCTACAGATGAAGCCAATACAGGGAGCAGAGCTACTTGACCTAAGAGGATAAGATCTTGTACGATAAAGGGAGGAAAGCACCGTGCAAAAGGGTCAACCTCATTAAATTGTGGAAGTGTATCTAAAAAGACAACAATTCTCTACCTCTTAGTTTGTGTTCTTCTTAAATTATATTCTAAACGATCAGACAGCGCTCGCAAGAAACTTCATCTTGCTAAAGAGCATTACCTTGTCTGTTCCGCTCCGAATCGAGATCCTCGTAAAATATCCTTTGCATTTCCAACAATATCTCTTCACAATCACCTTGATAAGCATTATGAAGCCCATCGTATTCCCAAAGGATATCATCTGGTTCATGGGCTCCATGCACGGTTTTCAGACTGTCAGTAACTGAGGTACTTTTTATTTTCTTCAATTCATCAGAGACAATGTCCCTAAAAGCAGATTTTATCAATTCCTGCAAGAACAACCGCTGGATAAACAACATTGTTTTCCCACCTTGTTAAAAAGAAAAGAACATTGATTTCAATTGGATAGTTAGCTTCCCCATCGAGCGAAAACAAGTTAGCTGCAACTAATACAAGGGAAATTAAGCAGGCTTGCTTTGGTTGCTATGGCAGGGAACTACTGCAATATGGATATGAGACTTTGCTGGGAGCTCCTTCACTTTCAAGATAAGAACATCAACCCGTCAAGTTTGGGCAAACAATCAAATGAAGGTTACTGAACATCCTTTATTGGGACCTACAGCGTATGCATGATCCTTCCTTCACTGATTGACACGAAAATTCTGACCCGGAAATATTTAACTCATCGGACGTGATTACTGGAGCTCTGGTTGGCAAGACAAGAACCTAGACTCTCCACTCCTCATACTTGGCAATATTCCAAACACTAGTCCACCAAGACATTGGCAAAACCAGTTTCATAATTTGCGGTAGTCCATACTCCATGCACCTCATTAAAAGCTGTCACGGTCAAAGCATAAATTCCAGAATCCGGCAAACCCCCAACAGAAGATCACATATTCTAAAATCCTCCACATAATTGACAAAGCCGTCTGGACTTATATTCGCTAATCATTTGAATCTGCAGTTGCCACCCTATAAAAATCCCTTCATGTTGCGTCCCATTCGATCGGTTCAACTTCAGGACTTTGGTAAAAAGAGAGCATTACAATGGGCAGCGAATCAAGCCGAAACGCATGGACAACAGCGAAGGACACAGTTTACTCAATAATGAGTCCATCAAAAGAGAAAAAGACACCCAAATGAGGATAATTTGAGCGGACTACCTCGTTATAAAACAACTCAAACGACACGATGACTTCGAATTCATTCGAAAGAGGCCAAAAACAAAAGAGGGTGGTGAGGGGGCAAAATCACTGCACCTTGCTAGTGCAGGGCTCGGAATCGGGCAACCTCATTCTCCACAGCAGCCGGCCTCGATCCTCCCGGACCCTCCGGTAGCAATTTTCCCTGAGCTACATCGTCACGAACCCATCAGAAGAACACCAACGACCATTTCCTCTCCGACCCATTACTCGACAGCGCATCAGAAGAACACCCAACAGCGCGAATTCGACCGATACATGCAGATTTACGAAGGATCTGAACCTAATACGGACCGTATCGAAACAAAAGCAAGGCGAGCGACCAGACCTTGTGCTTCCAAGCGGAGTAGTTGTTGAAGCCGGAGCGAGCCTTCAGGGACGTCCGCCTCGCAATCGCCGCTTCCGCCGGGGCTCGATCGAGATCCTCCATGTTCGGCGGCGATGCTCGGCGATCTTCCGTTCCGGTTCGAAGAGCTTCTTCGGCTTCGATTTTAGAGAGAGAATTTTGGCGGTGGTTTCATCGACTGTTTATATCGCCTCTTGGAATATATCTATTTTAGTTCTCAAAAAATTATATATCTATTTTAGCATAAATTGTCGATGAATTTTATATACTATTTCATATAAATCTACCTTTTAAATAAAATAAAGGCAAAATTCTTATTTCAAAATATCCTTCATAAAGAGAAAGAGAATGATGAATCTCTTGCAATTTAAAATCCGATGTGCCGCTCTTACAAGTTGATAAGGGAATCAATTCTTCATGCAACAAATTCAGCTTTTTCTTATTTTTTTCCATCTTTTAATTATTTTAAAAAACGATGGATAGAATGATTATCGTTCATTTTTTTTTTGGATCCGATCTAATTATATGAGGTTACAAAAATATGTGTATGCTCATTTTCACATTGTATTACCTCATATAAAATTACTGGGCAAGGACATAGACCTGTTTCATTAATTATTTGTACCGTGCAACAACCAACCTCATTTTTCTTTCATTTCCTTTTTCTTCTAAGTTTTGAATAAATATTCTGTCTTTAGTTATTGGAAGAATAGCAAAAATGTTGATTCACTATTTTCTTTCCAAAAAATTCCCTACACGATTAAAAAAAAAAGGAGAAGCTAAAAATGTTAAATATGTCATTTCTCCATCAAATCAAGTGATTAATTTTACAACTAATTCATTACAACACCACATGAGAAATTAAAATTAATCCCGCAACATGCCGAATGCTTTTTCGTAAATTGAATTAATTTTATACTAAAAATTACATTTGCTTTTACTTTATGGTGGTTCGGGTAGAATTAAGTCCCATCTCATTGGACTCATATTTATTCTTAATTTGTATCGCAACGATTTTTTTTAGGCTTTAGAGAACAAAAAGAAGAAAAAAAAACATTAACTCATTTCCCAATTCACAAAAAAAAAAAAAGTAGGAAAAGAGAAGGTAAAAAAAAAAACACTCTGTTTTTTCAAATCTCCCAAATACGCCACGTCGTATCAACTTTTGGCGAAAGGAAAAGAAAACGAAAAGACTGAGGAGGATTTTTGACTTATCCAAGAGAAGCAGCGACAGATTCAGTGAGGTCGATCCCATCTGATCGGAGCTTCGTCTTCTTCATCTGCTACCGCCGCCGCCGCCGCCGCTCCGCCGTCGACGAAGTGTGCTCCGAGACGGTACCGGGCTAGCTCCGGCGAAGCTCTAGAGAGAGAGAGAGAGAGAGAGAGAGAGAGAGAGAGGGGAAGATGCCTGAGAACCCTTCTTCAGCTTCAGCCGTCGATCCGGCCGCCGCCGCCGCCGCCGCCGCCGCCGTCAAGCGCTACGCTCCTCCGAATCAGAGGTTTTTGTTTCCGCCTGCTCCCCTCCCCCATTTTCCGATCTCTCGAACTCCTCGCAGTTATCATTCCGCCCGCGTGGCTTTTGATCAGCTTTATTAACTGCCTCTTGCGGTCGCACTCGCAGGAATCGCTCTCTCAACAGGCGCAAATCGGGAGGTCTGAAATGTTTGCTTTTATTTTTTTTTTTCTAAGTACCTCGTCATCTCTTTCCGTAGATTCGTGTTGATGGGTTTTGCTTGGGATCCTTTGTTTGAGGAGTTATTTATACGAGAATGGGATTGTGATTGCTGATCGTTGGTTTCTGTATGAGATGTCTCGCGCTGATGGTTCTTGGGTCATTTCAAATGCCTGTGTCGAAACTAAGGAAATGGCGAAAGCAAGCTGTTACGAGAACTGTAGTAATGATTAATCGATTCTGATGGAGGTTGGGGACAAGTAGTGGCCTTATGCTATATCTTGCTAGTCAATTGAAAGGTGCTTCTTGTCTGCCTAGACAAGGAAAGACATAGAAGAAAAGGTTGCACTTTGCCTCTCAGGCACACTTGTTTGACAACTCACTGATCACCCTACTGCCACTCTAGTTCTGTGGTTGGTGTAGCCACTCTAGAGAGAGAGAGGTGGATTAGGTTCGGGAGTCGATCACTAGGTGTGCATTCTCCGACAACTTGTGAATAAATATCTCTTTTGCACATGATAATATAGTTGGTTTGGGATATTGCGAGCATGCACCTCCTGTTATAGTGTGTTCTGTACATAAACAATCATACTGGCATGTGCTAAAATGTGCTTTCATTTGCTCTCATAGAGCAACTTGATCGACCGAACAATTTTTATGCAAGTGATGGAGAGAAGAATCACACAGCTGCTTCAAGGAACACCATCAATGATCAGAGGGATGCAGGGAGAAGCAACCTTCCAAAGGAAAACCCTCATCTGGGATCGATTGCCTTAGAAGGGTGCTCTACCAGCGAAGCTTCTCGTCTTCTAAATGACCGTATGGTGGTCTCATACAGTTTTTTTGTTGTAGTTTGTAGATCATTCTTTTTATCCCACGATTTTTTGAATATAAATTGGTGTCCTCACAAACATGGTCATTCTTGCGCGTTGTTGTATGATAATGTTTCTTTTCTAGGTTTGTGTAAAAGGAAAATCTGTCTGGATTTAATTTGCTTTGTCTGTCAGAGATTTGGTGAAAAGGGACTGTCCTAAAAATATTGATCGTTAAATTACCATTGTCGATGTGAAGAGTCGTTTTCTCTTTTGGGGTTACACAGTTTTTTTTTTTGTTTTTTGCTAAAATTTTGGGGTTACACAGTCAGCTTTTGAAATATGATGTCCTGATGTTAAATTATTTCGAGTTTATAAAGTTTTGTTCTTTTGAAAATTCAGATGATTTCGGATTTATAAATACTGTTAGGCAGATAATTAAACAATTTTGATTTGGAGAACTCAAAGTTCTTGTACGGTTACTAGGATTTGGACAGCATTTTCTTCTGTGCGTGTGTGAAGTGTGGACTTTTCATGTTAGAGTCTGGTTAATGTAGCATGTGAAAGCTGTAAAGATTATAATCCACTGGAATTTCAGCGTTAGAACATTGAATTGGTCAGAAGAAAATCATGGTTCGAAACATTATATGTAAAATAAAGTCAGTGCATTATTTTAAGAGATTCACAAGGTTGCACTGACTTGAGTTCAGTAGATGGTTCAATCTTTTGTCGAGGTGTTCTCCTCATTCTCCATGGTAATGCATTTGAGTTCTAGAAGAAGAAAAAGTTATGCACTTGTACTGTTCACATCTGGCATATATGTTTGGCATTTAATAGTCAAAATTGGCACGTCTTGGAGAAGATTTTGCTTCTATTTTGTAAGTCATTGCTTCCTAACCTGTTAATTTTGTTCTCAGGCTGGGAAGCTACAATTCGCAACTGCAATGATTTATCTATAGAGTCATCTGGTACGTAAAATAGTTCTTTACTTTTCACTCAAGCATTTCATATGAGTGTTGATGGATGGAAGACATCACCATCTTCATCAAAATTGTTTTTAAAAAAAAAAAAGGGAAGAGAAAGAAAAAAAAAAAAGAGTACGTGGTTTTTAACTATAATTTTGGGACAAAAAAATAAGGAAATAAAATTAATACTTTTATCAAAAAAATTCACCTAGTTGTTTTTTTAACCTTTTTTTAACTATAAATTTGTGTGGGGACAACTTTTGTATCAAAAAAGAAATTAAGCAATGCGCGCTATATTTCAGCTCCATTGAACAGATTCAGTCTCCTTTGCTATCGAATGTGACTGTGGATATCTTATTGCTAATTTGCTGACTAAACTAATTTACTTATCCCATGAAATCAGATCGCATGCTGTCAACAGTTACTGGGCATGAACTTTTTCTTTTTGGCTTGAAATGAAAAGAATCTCGTGGCAAGAAATATGCCTGGCCTTTAATATTGTCTTGTTCTTTTGTGAGCAGATGATTTACATTTTTGATTGCCTATGGAAGAGTAATGGCAACGTTATGCTTCCTGTTGGCTGCTACATTAATGAGATCTTTTATGATTTGTTTTCTGGATACCTAAGGTGTGTTACCCTTTGAGCATTCGATGCCAAAGACAGAATCCATGAAGGAATAATATGAATAGAGATCCTTCATGTCTGACCTGTTATATCTCTGGTCAATGTAACTTTTGGATGGTCACAGTGTAGAGAGAGAATTTGAAGGACTTACTCGGTATGTCGAGTTGCAGCCCTATATTTAGGATCTTATGCTTTACTTCTTTAATGCGGTATCCTGAACTAAACAAGCATAAGTTTCTAGTGATATTTTGTTGGACCTTCCATGTTTCTCGTCCTTACATGCTTAAGATGCATCATTGTTTTCTTGTTGAGAATTGCACGGCATTGCAGCTCTGTGAAGATCCTGTTTATAAGGTTGTCATCCCTGACTAACCAGGTTTTCCCTTTTGTGTTTTGTTGTTTCAGAAAGACCTGTTATGTACTCTGGAAGCACCGCGCCTGCATGGGGAGCCGTCAAACTTCCTCATCAGGTTTCCATTTCTGAAATCCCTTTCCTAAATGAAAAAAGAACAAGAAAAGAACCTCTCTCTCTCTCTCTCTCTCTCTCTCTGCCTCTCTCTCTCTCTGATCATGCTTCTTGTTTTATTTGTCCAGTTAATAGCTCCATCAGGTGTTGGATCTCCCAATTCCCAGATGGACTTCTTAAGTGAACTTCGCCGGGCAATGCGCAATGCAAATGCAGGTTCTTAGGTGTAGCAATTTGGCATCCGTACTCAAGATGAAGTTATTGGTTGTGGAAGTGGACATAAATTATTGCAGCTTTCACTTTTCAAGAGACTGGCGAGTTGTGGCAAACACCATGTACCCAGTTGGCTATCCTCCATTTGTGGAGCAAAACTAAGATGCGTTGCCCGAAGATGAGCACCTATAAATATGCTTTCCACTGCTGTCTTCCCTGACGGCATTAGTACTAACCGTTTTGAGTAGCTCATTATGACCTCCTTGTCACGAATGCCTCTGTGCAAGTAGTGTGCATGCGCGTGCGGGGAGTAGCAGTAGGTCCTTGTGTCTGTTGTTGTGCGTGTGCAATCATTTCGAATTGAGTTTCTTTGAAACAGTGATTGAAAACTGTTTTAGTTTTTTCGGTCTAATATAAGAGCTGGTTCTCACTTGTCCTCCTCCATCTATTTCTTTCTGAATCTGTTTTGATGCAATTGATTTTAGAGACACCAAATGTCCATCTTCTTGTATCTTTTCTGTGAGCTTCAAAGAACGATGATTGGAACGATGATTAAATATGCACTGATCAGACCATTATACTGGATAAGTGATCACATGTTGTAGAACTGTCAAACCCATTTTACTTGAAAGATGGGTTATATATGGGTTCGGAGTAATATAACCTACATGAGTTTGGGTCTTAATGGGATTAGACTCTATTTAGACCCAACCCACTTGCAAAGGCCTGTGACACTTACAACTCTGTTCGCGCTCTCTCTCTAGCCTTCACTCGTGTTTTTTGAAATGCAGTGTGCAGCAGATTGCAATGCATATTGGAAGCTGTTTCGGCTTCGCTCCGGCCACTTCCTAGCCGGAATGTCCCATTTTGGCCACCAGAATCCACTACTCCCACTCTCAAAGTCGCTCGCTCGCTCTCTGTCTCTTAAAAAGTAGCTTCTCCATGCTGACTACCTTTTCACCTTTCACTTTATTTCGAACCTTCGACCTCGCTTTTCCTGAGATTGAATATCTCTCTCCCTCTCCCTCTGCACCATTTGTGTGATTTGTGGCTCAGTATGCGTATACGTTGGAATTGCTGTTTTTTTTTTTAAGTCGGTCCTTTTAGTACTCTTCAACATTTTTAACTTTCTGACTAAAAAAGGAGAAACACTTTTTTTACTTAATTTACTTGAGTGTCACAATGTATGCGTTTGTGTTGGCTCTATCTAACTGCATTGGCCTTTTGCCCCTCTGCAAGGATTCTGGGTTTAGGTCAAAATCTGGTTTGATACATTGATTGCTTAGAATTTGGGGCTTCTGAGCGATGTGCAGTGATTATTCCGGTCTTCTCTGTCAAGTAAAACTGAAATGAATTTAGGTTCTTCGAGGTTCTAATTGGGAAATGAAACTAATTGGTGGTTGTGCTTGTGTTAGTAGCATCCTTCTTTTATTTGGAGTTCTTAGCATCCCAGTTGTAGTGTGAGCCCGTGTGCCACTAGTGCAAGTACTCATAGCTTTCTGAATCGGAGTTACTAAGGGCGCGCATGGAATCCATTCCTAGGGTAGAAATTCGCTCCAGGAATGTATTCGAGAATAGAAATGCGTTTGTTAAAAAATTTCGGAATGCATTCTGAAGCAATTTTTACATTCGGAATAAAAATGCGTTTGTTAAAAATACTTGATTCCGTAATGTATTCTTGATTCTAGAATGCATTTTTGATTCCGGAATGAGTTTTGGGCAAGAAAAAAGAACCTACTTTTGTAGCTTCTCTCTTCAGAATGCATTCTCCCTATTTTCTCTCTTTTTCTCATTGATTTTTTTTTTCAGAAAATGCATAAAAATTGAAAAATTCCAGAAAAATTCATAAAAATTTCTAGAAAATAAAAAAAGTCAAATTTCGGAAAATAGGAAATTTGGTGAATTTTTTCAAAAAATATAAAAAATCAAAAATTTCAAAACTTCACAGAATGGCTTAGAATACCTTTGGGCACCCACTTTGAGTGAAATTTAATTTTTTGAGGTGCTCAAAAAAATTAAAAAATCAAAAATTTTAAAACTTCATAAAACGGCTTAGAATACCTTTGGGCACCCACTTTGAGTGAAATTTAATTTTTTTGGGGTGCCCAAAAAAATCAAAAAATCAAAAATTTCAAAACTTCACAAAGTGGCTTGAATACCTTTGAGCACCCGCTTTTGAGTGAAATTTATTTTTTTGAGGTTCCCAAAAAAATAAAAAATAAAAATAGATTTGTTCCAAATCAATTTGAAGAGAATTAGTCATGTTTTATCAAAGATTTCTCCTCCAAAAATCAATTTCGGCAAGAATTTGATTTGAGGGAATGGTTACCATTCGTGCCCTAAGCTTTTTTTTATTGTGGCAATTTACTTTTTTTTAAATCCAAGTGAGATATACACATAAAACAGCTTAAAATGGATTAAATAGGCGGTTATGGATTTTTATATGTTGAATTATATATTTATGTGTTTTAGTAATACGGATAGGGTATTAGTCGCCAGGAAAATTGTCCAAAAAGTCGCAAACTTTTTAATTATGTCAATTTAGTCATAAACATTTTGACGATTTGCCAATGTAGTCCTTTAGACCAAATATCTAAATAATAGATTTAGGACTATTTGGCAAAGTTGACACAATCGAATGATTTAGGACTAAGTTATCAAATCATCAAAAGATTTAAGATTAAATTGACACAATTGAAAGGTTTAGGACTGGATTGACCGCCATACAATAGATTTACGACTTTTTGAACAATTATTTCATTGGTCGCTAAATTCGTATTACATATAAATGGGTTAAAACAAGTTAAATAAGTCAATTTGGATCGGATCATTTTCGACGCGACTCGACCCACCCATTTGACAGCCCTACATATTCGAACCTTACAAGATCATGTTCTTTCATGTACATATAAGTAGCTCGAGTTCCATCAAGACCTTCCCTTGGGTTCGCGAGTGTTTCGATTCATTTCAATGACAAGTTGAAATCGGAATCGTGTCAACGCTTCCATTTCGAGCTGCTTCGGATTCCATAGGAAAAAATCGATTGCCCCTTTTTTTTTTTTGTTGAATTTCCCTCCATTCGAAAGAAGTGACATGAGTATAAGATTAAACACGTGGTACAAATTTGATTCTTTAAACTACTGACTGTAAATAATTAGGCGTGGGAGGTATCCATCTTGATTTTTTTTATTTGTGCTTGCTCTGGCAAGGACCTCGAGATTGATAAGGGAAATCGTCAGCTCGATATCTATGCCTGTCAAAGTTTAAATATATATAAAGACTTAATTATAATTAACGATCAAATTATCGCGTTTATTCTTTCTTTTTTTTCCCCTTATTAAGCCCAAAAAGAAGAGAGGGTGAATTTATTGTCTCGGTCAATGATTCCAGTCGATGACGTGGCGCTACGACCGAGCATGCGTGGCGGGGGGACCATAGCGGGTAGACATGGCCACGGTTCGGAACCGGCGGTTCTGGGCCGGTTCCGGTTCTGGCCCGGTTCGGAACCGGCCAGTAAAAATTTAAAACATAAATTATGAAATAAAAGAATAATAAATTATGAAATAATGAATTATTCAATATAAAATGTAATCAAAATGTATATTGTGATCAAATTTGGGGAAAAAAAGAGAGAAAGAGATGGGGCTTGAACTTAAAATGTAATCAAAGTTTTTTTTTTTTGGAACCGGGCCGGTTCCAAAATTGTTGGAACCGCGGGCCCGGTCAACGGACCGGTCCCGGGTTTGACCCGGGCCGGTTCCGAGCCGAAACCGGCCCGTGGCCATGTCTAGACTAGCGGGCGCGGGGGTATGGGCTGTTTCGTCATTTGAGCCGGGCTCGAGGAGCGACGTGGACGATCGCTATTGGACGGGCCCAAATCGCCCCATCAGCGAACTCCGGGACAGCCAGAAAACGGCAAGAGAAAAACCTAATCCTCGTGCCTGAGCGCCACGTGGAGCAATCCGATCCGTTCATCAAAAGTTGCGGCTTCCACCATCCACTCCAGACTTATTATTCTATAACAATAGGAACATACTAATTACCATATGATAACAATGAGAATGATGACAATAGAATAGCACAAATAATTGTACCAAAATGTCTATTTTTGCAGCTTACTCACCCTTCTTCACTTTGGCTGAAATTATCACGCAAACCCGTAAATCGATTAAGTCTAAGTTTTTGATCAATAAGGATACCTCTGTCCGGAGCAAATTTCAAGTAGTTAGCGTGATTTGAACTTCTAACCCTCCTATTCTTGACTTGAAAACCTCTCGATGGCCTAATTAAGCTCCGTCGTCATGTGACGGAGGAAGGAATCTTGTGGTGCTGCTTCTTGCCTAATGTGCTTATTCGAACAAGACGAATCGATTCCGTTTCCACGCATCACATCGAGAAGGCAATCACAAAGAATTTGTTTCCACCGGGTCTATTAAAAAAAATTACCACATTTCACTTTCTTGATAGAATCACAATCAATTCTTTACCCTCTAACATGGGTATTGTATATTATTTTAGGATGGGGGGAGTTTGGTGGCGACAAGGATAACCCGGTCTTTAGTTTTTGTCTAAATTTTTTGATCCCCAGAAAATATATTTTTGTTTCACTTTAATAATGATGCTCTCTGGTAGGACGGAAGTGTGAATAAAGCATGCTCGTGTGCATGGTGCTAATGGTCTAGTCTCAGATTCAAGAACTCTGTTTCTTGGTTTTTCAGCAGCATCGATCCACAGAGAGAGAGAGAGAGAGGGAGGGAGGGAGAAGATGGAAGTTGGGTTCTTGGGACTGGGGATAATGGGGAAGGCCATGGCGATGAACCTGCTCAAGCACGGCTTCAAGGTCACTGTTTGGAACAGGACCCTCTCCAAGGTGCTCTCTCATGGCTTGTGCTGGAGTCGCTGACGATGTTCTTGCTCTTGTGTTCTTACGTGTCTCTTTCCTCGTGATCTCGTTTGGGTGGACGGTGTTTACGATTCTTTCATTGATGTTAGCTCGTTTTGTTGCGATTGCGATTCTTGGTGTGATGTTTCATTGTATTTACAGACTTCTGACGATATTGTCCACAGCTAATGAATGGCCACTGTCCTCTTCACTGAGTGTTTGATTGTATAATCTGGTGAAGAAGGGCAAGGATAAAAAGGAATCAAATTTTCCAAATGGCCGAATAGAAGAGATGCGGCTTAATTCATTGCTTCTGGAAATCGATTTTTCTGCCAAAATTTCGTGAAAGAAAGAATAAGAAAGGAACATGTTTTAATGGGTCTTTAAACTGGTTAGCTGTTTATGCGTCGGTCATGATTCTTCGTTCATGGTGTTCAGATTTATTCCTTTCTGGTAATGTGTTTCCTCTGATTTTGCTATGCCGGTAAATAGTCTTCTTGACTTCTGAGATTAATCTTTTTATGTAGTTTCAGATTAAGTTCTTCCCCCAATGCTGTTTGATGTTTTTGCTTCTCAATCACAAGTTTTTTCTTCCAAAATTCTGTGACTCGGGCAATATCATGGAGGGTCGAGTTGCGATTGGATAGTTGATTTTGCGCTGATTATTGAATATCCTGCACTAAGTCCAAATGGATTCACTTAATTTGATTGGTTCGGAGATTTGTGTAAAAATTTGTAAATTACAATCGCATATAAGGATAGAACAGTGGGAACGAGGAAATAGGCAACGGGTGATGTGTGTAAACGATCATCTTATCTTGCAAATACCACGCTGAAGTCTTGCTCTAGTTCTTTATCAATTAAGTGGACAGCGAAACACGAAATATGAGGGTGCTTACACGAGGATCGGTTTCAAAAGTAAAACTGATGAAAGTTGGTTCCACCGGACTTGATTGGATCCGCACTTGTTCAAGGATTTATGGTGTCTGGATGATGCATCCAGCATTGTCTGCCTTTACATTTCCCAAATCTCATCAAATTAATTTACTGGGAGTTGTATTCTCATGCAGTCTTTGTTTCACTTCTGATGCATTTCTGTTTCAGTGTGATGAACTAGTGGAGCATGGTGCTTCAGTTGGACAAACCCCAGCCGCAGTAGTCAAGAAGTGCAAGTATACTATTGCAATGTTATCTGACCCTTCAGCTGCTCTTTCGGTTGGTACTGAATACTTTGGTTTTGACTTCCGCTTGTCTTTCTGTATCCTAATTACAATTGTCTGTCCGGTAACTGCTAGGTGGTTTTTGACAAAGACGGCGTTCTTGAGGAGATCTGTACTGGAAAAGGTTACATAGACATGTCAACAGTTGATGCCGAAACTTCTATTAAGATAAGCGAGGTCTGAATTGATGCTTTGACTCATTACAAATATCAGGTGGCTCATAGTGTTTTCTGGAAATTACCAAAAAAATGTCCATTCACTAGTAACCCAGCTGAATGACTCTTGGTGTCAATGATCTCTCTCCTTTTTCTACATACCATCTTTGTCAAGATTTCCTAGTAGGTTTCCACATGAAGTACGCTACAAAGAGATTGAGTGTTGGCCATGAGTGGCTTAGCTTTTTTGCTGATACTTTCCAGGCCATTCAATCGAAGGGCGGTCATTTCCTTGAAGGCCCTGTCTCGGGTAGTAAAAAGCCTGCCGAAGATGGACAATTAATTATACTTGCAGCTGGAGAAAAGGCATGTGCTATAATGATTTTTCCATCTCTGTGCCTTTTTGGCTTTCTTTGGCGCTGCTTTGCATCTGATGGACAATAGAAACAGGTCGATGAAAACGAATTGAACCTAGGTCTACATGGTGGTTCAGATTCTCTGTTAGCTAGTTCATCATTTGTGTTCATGTGGCCACTCCAAGACTAATTTCTGCCTGCACATGGTACAAAGATGTTTTCCGCTGAACTGCTAGCTGGGAAAGGAGAATCACATTGGCCAACTCCCCATAAATTCCTAGCTGAATCTTGAAGGCAATGATTTTGATAAAGATGAAAGCACCTATCTTTGGTCCAAGATTTACCATGGTCCTGTCTATAAGTTACATCCACTTCTGCACAATCCCAAGGTCACAACTTTTCTAAATGATGATATCGCATATGACAATAGCTTCCTGGTCAAAAAGACACTAATGCATATGAACCTCCAAGGAGGATGAGTTTATTCCCTGAGTTATAAATTGTTTGAAGTCTTGTCAAGGCTTATTTTTTCGGTAGGTTATCCAGTGGCCTTTTCTGAGACTTTACACCAGCGTTGCATTTTGTCAGTTACGATTTCCTTCTTTCAAAGGGTTTTGGCCATTTTTCTGAATTCCTAGTGTAAATTGCAAAAAAAAACTGTAAGATATTAAGAAAGAGAATGTGTCAAGAAGATATATCTGGAGGTGAAGCAAAATAACTACTTGTTTCTGGCTCTGGCAGTGGCAATGCATCTTTGTCTTTGGCAAATATCATGTTATTAGATGGACTACTGCACTGTGAGAGCATCAGGATGAAAATGCAAGAACCTCGTTCTCTGAGAGCTAAATGCTCTTCATTCAATCTGTAACGCTTGTTTATCATTTCGACGTTGTATCTGCAGGCATTGTTTGAGGAAGCAATTCCAGCTTTCGATGTCATGGGGAAGAAGTCTTTTTTCCTGGGTCCAGTTGGAAATGGAGCTAAAATGAAGCTTGTAGTGAACATGATAATGGGCTGGTATTTGTTTCTGTCTATCTGCAATTGGTGAATACCAATAGCTTTTTGATACTTTGAGACTAGAAGAGGTGCAGCCACCCTAAAAGGTTTACGTAGATAGCCTGGTGAAGCTCATTGTAGTTTTTACTAGGTGAAAGACGAAACGGAATACTGAAACAGAAACTTCTATGGAAGTTCCCGTGAGCCAGTTCCATACTAGATAATCTTGACAGCAATATCCTTTAATGTTAGGATTAGCATAAACCAGAATCTTAGTGTATAATAATAACTGATTGCACTGTAAGCCACTTGCATGGATCTTGAGGCTTATGCAGCCAATACATTGCAATCGCATTTTGATCTGCATATCTCAAAGAAACCATTCTTTGTGCAACGGGAATAAAAAAAGCATCAGTTAGATAATCAATGAGAAGGATGTTATTGTCTGCATCGGCAAGTTATGATGGTATAGCAATTGGGAAGTCAATGTGAGTTGCTATTACCATGTAGATATCCAGGTGCGGAAAGTCCTAGCAGCTCTTGGTAATGGCATGTTAATGGTCTCTGTGGCTCTGATGTGAGAGCATTGTGATTGCAGTAGAAGCATCTGCAAGCCCTGCTGTCATGTCTGCACCTAAGCAAAAGCCTCGTGTACTATCAATATAAATGCATCAGACGTTAAATTCTGTACTTGGTCTGGTCCCACAGAACTGAATCAGTTTCATTCAAGATTTACCAAAAGAAATTTACGTTCTTTTAGTTTGGTTGTAGTACTAGTACATTGGCATTTTTTGGCTCACAGAGTATTTTTATTGGCGCAGCATGATGAACGCATTTTCAGAGGGACTTGAACTGGCCAGCCGAAGTGGATTGGACCCTCATACTCTTCTCGACGTACTGGTACGACAATGATCAACCTGTTCAGATTTACTCCAGTTAAAGCATGGATGGCTGGTAAAAATCTTTTCTTGGCAGGATCTCGGTGCAATCGCTAACCCAATGTTCAAACTTAAAGGACCCACTATGATAAAGAACAGTTACGCCCCAGCCTTTCCTCTGAAACATCAGCAGAAGGACATGAGGCTGGCTCTTGCTCTTGGGGATGAAAATGCCCTTTCAATGCCAATCGCAGCTGCTTCCAACGAGGTTGTTTTCTTGCACTGATTTTTTATACTCTACTCTCATTAGAACTCAAGTGAGTTATTGCTAGGAATTTGATCGCATCCACTGTGGGGTGGTGCTTGCTCTTTCCAATTCAAATAACATTTACTTTCAAGTACACCGTGAATTGAAAAGTCATAGTCATGAACTGCAAGACATTATTCTCCACGATGAAAAAGAAATCATCATAAAACAAATGAATTTTGAGGACTTTGTTCCTTCCATTTTATATCCGTGTACTGAGTTTCTTGGGGCGACGACTTTCTGGGTAATGCTAACAGTGTAGGGATTGGAGAGATAAATAAACGGTTCTGTAGTGCTTTCATTGAACATACTTTAATTCTGTATGAATAACCATTCACTTCTTCAGGGAATGTTGAGACTAATATTAAACTCTGATATTCTGTTACCCGTTTGTTTTCTTTTACTTGAATATACGTCACACCGTGTCCAAAGTGATTTTAGATGAATTCACATTGTCATCTCCACTGCTTGTAGGCTTTCAAAAAGGCCAGGAGCCTGGGACTGGGTGATTTAGACTTTTCTGCTGTTTTTGAGGCTGTGAAGTTGCTCAAACATTCATCATGATGCAAAAGGACATGGTGAGACATAGGTATGCGTGAAATCTTGGTCTGGTTTCTGGAAGATGCATCTTCATTATTGTCGGGTCGCGGAGAATGATGATTGATGCCAAAGAGATGAAATTTACTACTTGAGAAGCGGGAGTTTCTTGGTTCTCAAGTTGTTAGAGGTTTCAACCTAGACATGCGACTGTATTTCCTATTGGGACGGAATGCTAAACTGATGTTTGAGACGCCATTAAATGCTAGTGGTTGCTTCAACCCCTCTCTCTCTCTCTCTCTGCCCCCCTCTGTGACCCTCACAGATTAACATGCCCAAGCATGAGTTCAAGCGCATGAGCTCATGCAAATGTGCGTGCATGCTCAAGCATGGGTAAAAATTTTATGGTAATATATAATACATTGCACCTTAGTTAAATTATGCAGACACTGTTGCAGCTCAAATGTGAAGACTGAAAGGCATTAAACTCCAAAGGTGTATTTGTTCGACTATTGCGTTCTTTCGAAAAATGAAAGAAAAATTGTTGCACCACAACAAAAGTCCCGACCAAACAGCTAGAGGAACTGAGTGGAAATGCACTCGCATCTTATTTAAGATTAAACAAACAGAAAACACATCCTTTGAGAATCATGACAAAAAAGTCGGCACATAAGTCCAAATACTAAAGGCCTGCAACTTTTTGGTTTTGAGAAGGATCGCGTGAACAAGCCGTGGCATCAAAGCACTGCACTAGCTGATATGGCGCGCATTCACTCCAGTCAGATCCATTCTTGACTTGACATGTGGAAATTGAGTTAAATTTGAATAAAAACAGAATTTCTGATTACCTAAAAAGGAATGCAGAGCAGCTTTCGGGAAAATTTGAAGTCCCGTCCAACCGTCTCTCTCTTCAACCATGGTACAGCCATGTTTAGTTTCAAAGAAAATCATCCTTCTTTCTTTTAGCAGCTCAATCTTTTACGTTTCAGACCCCTGCTTGACCATCGCGCTTCGAATTCGCTTAGAAGACCATCGCCTGACTCTGCGCTTCGAAGTCCTCCATTACCAAACAATGTAAGTCTGTATTAGACACGCATCACTATAAACCAATCAGACTAATTTCAACCTACTGAGTGAGAGGTCAACAATCAAGCTCAATATCAAGCTCACCCGGCTCAACATTATGCAATCTCAAAGTAATGGAGGTCTTCGAAGCGTGGAGGTCGACCAACAGTTTGAAACGTAAAAAATTTTGTTTGTCTAATTTTAATTCAATTGCCATGTGTCAAGTCGTGAATGGATCTGACTGGTAAATGCATTCCAGATTAACCGCTGACATGGCACTTTAATACAACTAATGCAAGTGAATTTTCAGGCACATATATGCTCTTTGCGTGCCATTATACATTCTCGGAACGATCATCGAGACTCCTCTTGCGACCTAGTCAGGTTGTCTGACATGTGCTAAGATAATTGAAACTTAAAAAAAGAATAAGAAGAAAAGGAAAGCAGATTTTCGTTGGGCAATTCACATTCAAAAACAAGGTCAGATATGAACAATTGTTGAAAGCATCCACATCTTCAGTGACGGAAATTACAGATGACATTACACATGACGTGATATGAACACATTCTCCTACCAACATAAACAACAAATGATGCTATTTGGCAAGAAGATGTGGAAGGAGGCACTTAAAACTACAAAAGATGCTAATGAAAACCAAAAGCCTAGGCACATACACTCAGTACAAGTGATAGTACAACAATTTCAAAGCTCCGAGAGGATGGCAGGGATGTAGTGAGATAACTCTGCAGTGAGAGATTGAAACCCGTTCACGAGCTGCGTGTGGAATTCTTGATCTTCCTCCCCAATCAATCTGAAGTGAACCCGTATCGCACGCTTGCAAACAGCCATGAATTCAAGAAGTGCGGCGATGAGTTGCTGTAGTTCTTGGGACCGCAACCTCGTGGCAGGCTCACCAGACAGGAAAGCCGTGCAAACACTAAGAACCCCACTATTCACCTACAACAATGAGATTAAATGTCAAAAAAGGTCATCATGAAGGAAGAGGTGCATGAATCTAGTTATTTGGTCAAGCATAAGCCAGTTATTTGTCAAAGGCCATCAGTATGCACTCACTTGGACGGCGACACTGCCTTGAAGAATTCTCTGAAGACTTTGCAAGCGTGGGAGTTGATCTCCTTCAGAACTGCGAGGCTCCTCGAGTTCATTGCGCAGTGCAGCTGTTCGGGTTTCAATCATGCCAATTGCATTTTCTACTGGAGAAAACTCAAGAGACTCGGATTTAGTCACCAAGAGCCTGTTCACAAGGGCAGGGAATGAGCCCTCAGTCTGAAGAACCGTCCGCCTCTTCCATTGGTCTTCTAACCCACCTTGAGTCTTGCCATTTTTAGTAAATGGGGTATCGAACAAAAAGCGATCAAAAACACGAGCACGGACGCCGCCAGTAGATAGAGAAAAGATCCTCTCCCTTCTGCTCCCCAAATCCTCATCTTCCATCACGGGATCAACAGCAGTAATCTGTAGATAGCAGACTCCTGGCTGCAACTCTTCGGCTTTTACTTGTCTAGAATCCGGAATAATGTGCAGTGTATGATTTCCATCCATCCGTGACTCATAAATATGACTAAGTTTCTCCATAATATCACCAAGGCGCACATCACGGGGCTCCCGATAAACGTATTCCTTCTTATCCAGCTTCCCAAATTTTTCACCGTAGAACCCCACCCTGTAATATGTAGCATCGGTAAAAGGTATTGGACTCGATTCCTGCTCGAGGATTGACTCATAGATATTGGTAAGCAAGGTGTGACATTTTGCCAGCTGTCCATATGCTCTCCTGCTTTTGTAAACTGGAATCACGAGTTCCAGAATGCTTGCGCAGAAATGATGAAGCTCGGCTTGAGAGAAAAGCTTGTTTGCAAGCTGCAGATATTTCACAGCAGAGTCTACTGTGAGTTTTGAAGCACCGTACCCCTCGACCTCCGCAGCAGATGCCTCACAGCTAATCTCACTGCTGACCATTGGGCAAATTTTACGTAGTGCCGTCACATGGTCTTTACTCCAGACACCATCATTTCTAGCTACTAGGGCCTGCAATAAGAACAGTAAGATATAGTAGGACTGCATGAGTGTCTAATGAAAAATATTGTTCTAATCAATCAGCAATATCCCCTATAAATAGATCTCAGACAACACTCTGAGCAGTCTTCGTAGAGAAGTCTAGAGAGGTAAACTCAAGATAACTCACAAATCAGAAAAGAACTCACTTTGGTTGAGGAAAATGATGTCCTACTGACAGTATCTCTTGTCCATTAAGAGTAGGGAACTCGTTTGTACCCTGTGTCTTTGTTTCTATTACGGATACAAGTATTTGACTGGAAATTAAAGCATAACTTAGGTCCTTCCTAAAATATAAGAAGGAGAGTACATTGGATCTTCTATTTATAAATGACAATTCTTCCTTGGAGAGCCAGTAAAATGTGATTGTATAGAGGAACCTTTTTTGTGACAGCACGCAGAATCCAACTATCAAGCTTAAAAGAGTATGATTGCTAAAAGAAAGCTGCGTGTGACTATATTTAATAGTTTAAATGTATGTACCTGCATTACAACACCAGCAACAGCCACAGCACATTGTGCAGCTTCAGCAGAAGACTGCATCTCCTGGTGTGCATCACACAAGTGCAACAACCACATAATGTGAAGATCGGGGACAGGGGCAAAAGCCATAGCAAGTTTGTGATAACTCTCTGCAGCAGCATATCTATCCATATTCATCAAAGTTCCCTGAACAACAAAAATCATAGAAAGGCTAACTTAACACAAGCCCAAAAATTATTACCACGTAATTAATGATAAAGCCAAGATTTCTATTGTCAGCAAGCTTGCTGGATCAGATGTGGTATAGCCAACAACTTTAACTATAACACAACCCACTGTCGTCAACCAGAATTGTGAATCAGATGATGGAACTACCCCAACTATTTGTAATTGATCCAATCTGAAGAATGGTGGCTGATATGTTACCAATATATAAGGTTCACCTCACTCATAAGTCACAACACAAATATGCTACCACACATGCAATCATAACTTACCAAAAGAGAATGCTCAAGGCTTGCATCTAGTGCCAAAAGAAGGCTATCAGAGAGATATTTGACCTCCGACCAGGACCACCGATTTTCTGTCATTCTTTCTGGAATTGAGAAGAGAGTATTTTCAGAAAGACCACATTCCCTCAATATGTTAGGGCTCTTGCCTTCGTCTGCCATTTCCTCCAAAGATTTTCTAAGTCGCCGTGCCTCACCACTCTCCTCTAGCGAACCATCAGATTTCATCTGAGTGACTTGCACCTCAGACATCAACTCTGATATTGTAATAGTCAGCATGACCCTTAACCTTGCAGATTGCATTAAGTGATAGAAAGAACTCTGCAAATTGATTATGAAATGCATACCATCAATAATCTGGTTGTACTAGCTAGCAGAGAGAGTATGATATTAAGTCTAGAGAGCTTACCTTAACAAGTATCTGAAGCCCAGCAACAGCCCGTTTCCGAATACTGTCATTTCTGAAAACAGCTAGCCGCAGCAGATGAAAAGCAACTTGTTTTAAGAATCGATCATTCTCCCTGGATATAAGGGTAGCTCCATGAAGACCAAAGACACTGCTGAAGACAGGTAATAAAGCTTTCCAAAACTCCAGGGGTTGATTTCGGGAGAAGAAATTCATAAATATAGCGGTTACGCAATCGAGTTTCCCATAGTCCGTTGCGATGCTATGAGTTGATGCCATTGTGGAAAATTTCTCAGTTATTTCCAGAACTTGAAGACTGACAGCAGCACTTAAATTCTCTTCCCAAAGCTCCTGTAGAAATTGCCAAGATTATAAGCTGTCTTCATTAAATTAAGTGAAATATCATATGATACAAACTTCTTCAAATAAGAAAAACAAGAGCAGCACATAGTGAATACAGTGAACTCTATACCAGTTTTTGCCTCAATATTGGGTGCAAGGATTCTCTAAGAGCTTGAGCTGAAGCTCCGATCCTTGAAGATTGAGCCTGAGCTAGGGCTTCTCTCAAAGAATACGGCTGACTTGGGGAGCTCAACTGGGAGTTCACTCTCTGCCATAAATAACCATTCTCAGGTGTTCCCTGAGGCTGCATATAGATATTGCAGCAGAACTTTAGTGGCTTTGAGTGAAAACCAATATTCAAGATGATGGCTTCCAGTATTACAAAGAATAATCACCAGG